GGGAACCAGATGAATGGAAACTGGAACACCCACTAAGAGAAAAGGGAAAAAGAGTTTATCCCAAATTGTAACTCAGAAACTTGGATTGATAACTAGACCAAAAAATATATAAATTTTGGAACCCACATCTAAAAATCTTCAAACTTAGAGGATATTCAGACTCCAAAACCATTCAGTGAAAAAGTTTATGTAGCTCTTATCCAAGAATATTTAGCAATGAGAATGAGGATTTCTGAGTCCTGTAACTCTTACCTATGAACAAGTCATCAGTCCCTGCTTTAATATTTGATACCGTACCAAAAAGAACAAAGAGGTTTGGTGTGGGAATCCTAACACTACAGCATGTTTAACCAGTGATAGGAGCCCCCATCCAGTGGTTTGACTTTGTAAGAGCAATTGACAAGTGTAGAAAATTACATTTTAAGTTAAAAAAAGTTAATTTATATCAGGGATGGATCCACATAGGGGTACAGTGGGGTGGTCACACCCTCCCTTTAACTGTGTAGCACACATGCAGTGAACTCTTCACTGGTGGTCTCCACCAGTAGTTGCATCCTCCACACCTGTGAGCTCTCTGCCACATCCCACTTTCTCAAAATCCTAGATCCACTCCTGACTCCTTTTAAGAAGCTGAGATAACCAAGATATCACATGACTAACTATGCCTAGAAACTTAAATTACTTATTTTTCTTAAGCCAAGAAAACCCCAGGAACCCTAAGTTAACAAATTGACCTTTTAAAAAAACAAATAGGTTTTAAAATATCATTTAAAATAACAGCTAGGAATAGCATTTGGTAAGGAAATGTGGCTTCACATTTATTAGTTATCACCTTTATTAACTAATCTAGTGATTCTTTTTTTTCTTTTTTGTGACAGCTGGAACTGCAGATTAACTGAAGCTAACAATTGGAAATTACTTTCCCTTGAGAAAAAAAATAAGCTGTCATTACCCCATTCTCTGTAATAATGTCTCCATGTTTTGTTTAATATGGGCTACTTAGTGTGCCTGTTCTTTCACAACTACCCAGGGACATATTTTTGAGGTTTATTTGCCAGCTTCTGCTACCTGGATATTAAAGGTTGGCTGGTGGCTGTTCACCATGTTATACCTCAGAGGAACAGCTTATTGGATCTGGCTCTTTTCCTTGTCACTAAACAATTGAGTTAATACATAGGGATAACTTAACAAAGAACTAGCAAATAAGTTCTGTGGTGCCACAGTAGGAGACGCTACTACACAGAGCCACCCGGCTCACTGTGCCAGGCCCAAAAACCTCACTTTGGGAGTTTCCCACGGGGTGCCTACCACCGGTTGTCCCACGTCCTGGAGAACACCTGCAAGCCTGGGGCATTGATCTCTATTAGGGCTCTATGCAGCCCAGGGCACACAGACCCTGCAAGCCTTGGGGATGATTTGCCCACTAGGGGGAAAACAAGAAAGTTAAAATACACTTTAAGCAAACGTAATCAATCAGAGTCTTGCACAGTCTTGGACGTAATCATGGGCGATTGGTGCCTCCTGAGTCTGGGAGGGGCCCAACATCCAATCACTGACTGGGGGGTCCCCCAGTGGCTGATCGCTGACCGGGGGGGGGTGTCCTGGAAGCCCTGACAGCAAAACCAGAAGTGCCACTGGCACTTCTTTTGGTACCCCCACTCCCCAGCTGGTGCCAATCTCAGGGGGGGCACTGGCCAGCACTTCTCTCAGTACCCCCACTCCCCAGCCAGCAAGGGCCAGTCTCAGGGGGGGAACATGCCCCCCCATGCCTCTCCTATGCATCGTCTATGGGCATAATAGTCCTTTTAGAACACGTCTGCCTAGACATAAATCCTAACTCCTGGCTAATTTTCAAGTTTTTACTTACAGGAGTTCATCCAGCCAGCAGCCTGGAAGCACTTTGCTTGTGGCTTTTTAAAATGCCCACTGGAGGATGAGAGAGAGCTCCCCCCTCCCCTCAGGAATGTATCTGGCCCGGTCACCTGGTTGACCAACCTGATCCAAATAGAAAGCAAGTGAGAAGGAGACAGGTACCTCTGGAATAACCCAAGGGATGGCAGAGAGAGTGGGGATTTCTTCACAGTACCTTACGTATAGTAAAGGCAACTGTTCTGGAGTCCTCAAATCTTAAAGATACACATTTTGTAAAGTTAAATTAATTTGCAATATACAGTATCATGTCAGTTAATGATCTACTGTTTGTCACTAGAGCTATTTCTGTACTGCAAAAGCTGCATCCACAGTGTGAAGAGCTACTCACTTAAAATATTTCCTCGTATCCCTTTCATTGATATTTGCATAAATAAGTATTATTCCACATAACTATTTAGAGCTCTTCTTTTTTACATGAATATCATTAATATCTTCCATGTGAACAAGGGCATCTGAACAGAACATCTGGGCCTGAGCCAAAGCCCACTAACATCAATAGTAATCCTTCCAGTTCATTCAGGGAGTAGAAAAAACCCCTATCAAAGGCCAAATACTTGAACTGAATATTGTTTCTTTAAAGTGTTTTATTTCAAACAGTCAGTGCCTTTTCAAATCTAGAAATATGCTTGCAAATATTTTTGAACAGAGGAAATGGTTAGATTCTTATGTTGAGTAATTAACCATACTCACCTGGCTCTATTTATAATAGTTACTAACTCCCTCCAGCCATCGCTACTACTGCCAATAAAGCCCCTACCAATAAGATAGGCAGGACTGATTGTTTTTAATTTTGCATGAACTTGTCCTTTGGCTAGAGCTATGAATCACAAGTGGTCTCAGATAACCTGAGCTTCCAGTTTTCTGTAAGTGAAGATTGATATGGGAGTCATTTTTATTGTAAACTCATCTTTTTTCTTGACATACAACAGTGGCCAACTCTTGAACTCAATTATCAGTCAGTGTCACTGATACAGACAGTGAGTGTTAAACACTACCACTAGCCCTGCTAATGTTGGCGTTTGTCTTCAGTGGCTCAGAATCTATAGTCTCATTGTAAAATAGATGGGTAACTGGAAGTTCCTTCAAAGCTCCGTTCAGCATTCATAATTAGAGTGACCTTGTTATGAACCCAGAGTCATGGTCTTGTGTGGGTTTACACTTCCCAGTGAACTCTGAGGCTGCGCCTCTGAGAAAAATGGTCAAATGGCAAACACACAGAATGACAGTGAGGATGAAGTAATCCTTTCTGTTACTCCAGATACAAGAAAATAAACATCTCATTAGATAATGGATAATTTAGATTCAGTGTATTTCTACTTCTCTGGTGCTAGTATTTGACTTTTCTTTCTGCTGGAGATTGATAGAATGAATGTTAATAGAATACCTGGCATTAGCTAACTGTTCAATTGAACTTGAAAACTTTGTGTTTATATATAAAAATGAGGGGTAATATAGAGTTTTGTAAAGTACATATTTAATTTACAGGTTATTACTTTAGAATATTTACTTTATTCATTTCTCTCCACTGTTTGGGTTTATATTTCCTCCTAACCTCTCATTTAAAGCATTTAAATGGAAAATTTTAAAGCAGTCTCTAGCCTGTTCTAAATTGTGTTGGTTTGTAGATGCCCCTTATGAGCTATTATAAGCTGTTACCCCAAATTATCTCTACTATGAAAAGTTGGTGGGGTTGGTTAGAGCACAGTACTCTCCAGCCACAGCTCCTTCTTGAGTCATCCTTTATGCTTTTATGCTATATGTGTGTAAACATTTGAGGAGGTTAGGTCAATCTAAGGCCACCTGATTGAAGGTAAGTTGGGATAGAGGAGCTAGCATGGCGGGGTGGAGGGGAGGCTTAGGAGGGATTGGAGGAGAGGCTCCAGGGGTTATTGTGGGGGACAGGCAGTGTCCACAGGGAGTCCATGAGGAGAGGCAGGTGGAGTCCACAAGGAGATTGGAGGGGTCTAGGAGTCATGGGTGACTAGTGCCCCCTGAGACTGGAAGGCACAGTTTGTGGGCAGCGGCATCGGTGGCGGGCTGGTGAGCAGCGATCACCTGCAGAAGCTGGTGGCGGCAGCGGGGTGGTGAGGGGCAACTGCTCGCAGAAGGCAGCAATGGTGGGGGGAGGGGGAGAGCGGCAACCTCCTGCAGAAGCTGGCAGTGGTAGCATGGGCCCCCCCGCTACCATTTGCCTAGGCTGGGAGGCTTGTGGGGTCCATAAGGGCCAAGGAGGGCTCTCTTCCCTATACCCTGGGGCTAGGGGCTATTTTTAGCCACCTGACCCCCCAGCAAACCAATCCCCCCATCTCACCTGCCCACTCCCCTACTCTGACTTATTTGCTCAGCTCCCAGCACTGGCAAATGCCAGTAAAACTGGCACTGGAAGCCGCTTGTGGGATAGGGGGTTTGGTGGACTGAGGGGAGGGCTGGCTGGTTTGCATGGGGATTGTCCATCTTGGGGTGGGGAGAGGAGCTGGGGGTGGGGGGTAAAAATAGCCTGGTGCTAGGGAGGTGTTAGGAAAAGCTCAGCCCTGGGGCTGGGGCCAGTGATTGGGCTTTCTCAGCCCTTAGGCTGCTGTGTGAACTGTACAGAAGTTCAGAACAGTTAAATCAGTCTAAAAGTGGCCAATCTGATCTAGATTAACTCTACCTCTGAGGTAGTCTAATTTAGGTTGGCCATTTTTAAACCAGTCTAACTGTCCTGAACTTCTGTACAGCTCACACTTAGATCAACCTAACTAGTGTAATGTCTGCACCTGGGCAAACTAAGATTGGGTGGCCATTTTTAACACAATCTAACCTCCCCCTCTAACCTCTCCAAATGTCTGTATGCACCCTGGTTGGAGTAGAAAATGACTAGGTTAGTTCTACAACAGCCAAATATTCCCCTATACTAAGTATATCCTCAGCTCCCCTTCTAGGATAGCTTTACCCCTTTCCTTACCTTATTAGTGAGGCTGAGAATTAGTAAGACTGAGAATTTTGTCCGTAATCTTTGGAGTATAATAATTCTTTGTTGCAACCAAAGTGTAACTTAAGCTGGTCTTTCTGTTGTCTTTGCTTTGTAGGTATTACTACCTTGCTTTCAAGGTGCATGAGACCCCTCTGGGTAGCAGAGAGAACTGCATTGCTATTTTGGAGAAATCAAAACTTGACAACTGGATCCTTGGGAAAACAAAGGTAGAGCATGTTTCTGTTTGTCTCAAGGGCATTGTCTATACAGTGATACATGCTTGAGTGGTTTGCTAAATCTGGGTCCCTCCCTGAACAGAGTTGGCACATTGTACCCTCTTCCAGATATGCTGCAATGCTTGCACTCCCCCAAGTGTTCCTGAAGGCAACTGGGGCACAATGCATCCAGCAGCTCCTTCTTTGGGAGTACTGTTCTACAGTCCTTCCTCCTGGCACTAGTATTGAGCCCTCTCTATGCATCTCAGCCTGTGGGCCAGTTTGGCACAATATCTGTTTGCCATGTTTGAAGTGGTTCTTCTTTTCATGTGAGATACTTTGAGTTATTTCAAGCAGTAACTTTTGTTCACCATTTAAGTGGTGTTACTGAATTCTGTGACATATTGGGTCAGCTCCTGATTTTCCTACTTGTTTCTTAGGAATAACACAGTAGGAGTTTTCCTGAGTAAACATGAATGAAATGTAAGAACTGTTAGAATTTGGCCCCAACTTACAGTCCTTTTTACAATGTTCTGTTTATAAATTCACTCCAAGACCTTGCTCCTGTTTGTTTTAATCAGGAGGAGCACTTTAAGTTGGGTCTAAGAACTTCTACAGGATCACCACAATGAGAAATACTAGTACTAATGAGAGACATCAGTATTTAAAATGTTACCCCAAATCAACTCTAGCATGAAAATCTGTTTAAAAAATGTTGATATCTAAAGCAGCTCTTTGCCCAATTTAATTTGCAGTGGGGGAAACTGTATGATTTACATTGCAGCAAGGGCATTATAAACTGTATACAGTGAAATTTCACAAGGAAACTGAAAACATGGTCAATGAACTCTCAGCAATGGGATTTAATGGGGTTCTTCTAATGGTTGCATTGTAATGTAGACTACAATATGACTAATGAAAAGGCAGTGTAAAATAATTTATCCTATTGCATACATGTAATACTGAAGCTTTTGTTCCATTTCAGGTTTTTCTAAAGTATTATCACATAGAGCAGTTGAATTTGTTTCTGCGAGAAGTCATAGGCAGGGTGGTGGTCATGCAAGCCTATATCAAGGGGTGGCTTGGAGCTAGAAGATATAAGAAGGTCAAAGAAAAACGAGAAAATAGTGCTCTTGCCATTCAGTCAGGTAAATGTTCACATCCCCTATTTCATACACTATCTTGGTATTGTTCAATTGCACGTAGATCGTCTCTTTACTTCCTAACTGTTTGCTGTGAAATAAAAATGTGTGTGATGACTTTTCTTCACCTTAGGTAACAGACGCAAGCATTACTGATTCATTTCTAAGTTATCAGCTTTGTAATCTGTAATTTTTTAAAAATGCTTTAGCATTAGTGACACTACACCTGTAAACAAAGGGAAGATGTCATTAAGCATCTGTACACGAATGTGCATCACACAGCTCCTCCTTCTCTCTCTCTTTCTGTCTCCTATACGTGTGCACGCTTGCACATGTGCATTCCAAACAACAGACATACTAGGGTGGGCTGGAGAGGTTCATTATTCGTAGCATAGCATTTTTCACTCTACTGAATATGAGGCAGTGTGGAAGAGGTAATTGTTTGATTGACTTTTTTTTATGTCCAATGATACTGAACCTCCATCTGTGCTTGACTTTGTGACATCACACAACACATGTTGACAATTAAAATTTGGAAGACTCAAAATGTGTTTGAAGTTGTGGGGATGCTTATACTTCAGTTGTGAACCCAGAGTTCAACATGTGGGTGGGTAAGGAAGAGTTGGGAGGGGGGAGGTGGTTATGGCAAGAGGGATGAAAGATTCAGCACATCTCTGACTCTGTAGCACTTCCTTAAATGATGGTAATTTCCAACACATGGTTTTGTATTTTTAGCCTGGAGAGGATATGAAGTTCGCAGGAAGTACAAGGAAATAAGGAACAGAAGAACTGATGCTGCTATACATATTCAAGCAGGTAATTAAAACATTATTTCCATTGCTAACACCTATTTTTGCTGTGGGTAATTACATGTGTCAGTGTTTATATCTGAGAGAAAAGCCTACAAACCAAACAAAAGCTAAACAAAAACTGTGTCTGACCATTTGTTTCTTAATATCCAACGTCACAGTGACAGCACTCAAGCACTTTGAAGCTTTTATGATGAGTACTTCTCAAAAGCAAAATGTATTGATGAACAGTCATCAAATGTAATTCTTTGGGATTTGTCAGAGAGTGGATAGAACTGGTATGGAATACTAGATTCATTTGACTTAAAGTGTGAATGGTAGGCATTGGATATGCCATTTCTCTCAATTTGTGCTTAGCCCTAATCTTGGCAGGTATCCAGGTTTTAGTCTCAACTGCTGCTGAGTTTACCAGCCTGGGCCAATCCTCTGACTCTCTGCCAGGCTCCTATGCAGCCATATCAATATGAATTTGAATAAACTTTAAAGAGATTATTGAAGGAACAGGCCCAAAGGGCTATGTAGGTCTCTAGTAGAGAGCAGGAGACCATATGGCACTGAAAATAGAAGAGTCAGTCCTGTGAACTCATTCACAGTGAAGTTATAATGAGGCTGTACATGCTGCCAACATGAGCCAAACTGAGAATGATGTATTACACCTGTGCATGCCATCGCTCTCTCTAACTCAAAGTGAAAGAGTTCTGCAGAACAATCTAAAACAATCTATTGATGCTGTATCTATAGATAACCTTGGATACCACATTTCAGTTCATCCATTGCCTATCCTATACTTATGTGATTTCTGTTACTCCTGAGCTGTGTCATTTAGCCTGTCATTAAACTGCAAGGAAACGTTCTGTTCTGAATATTCTGTCATTGAACACAAATCAAAACATTATTGTCAAGCCATTTCCATTATAAGTCCAACAACTTCCTTCCTTTCCCAGTCTTTTCCCTTGAGAGTTAACATTGCTATGACTTTCAGCACGAACATAAAATAATACAGTTCTAGTTATGGGATAAAAAGAGAGTAAGCAGCATTGGGAAAAAAGAATGATTTATGGCTTTATGCATATGCTATTGTGTATATCCTTAATACAACAGGAGCATAGCTGTAAGGTCAATTGCTATATGTTCTATGTTGCTATATATTCTCTGAAACTTGGATCTGTTGTGGGGATAAATATTTTTGCTAGTTATAGCAGGCACCGAGTTCCTGCATAATCATATTATTCACTTCCTCCTCTCTTCTGTGCTGTCATCTATTGTTTTCACTTTTAACAGAGAGTATCAGTTCTTCAGTTGAAGAATCCATTCTTACTTATATTGTAAAACACCAGGCACATCTTTGGCACTTGAAGGTACAGCTATTTTCTGGGATAGTTATGACATTTACATTTGGATACCTGACCCTCAGTTTCCTGGACATCTCAACAGCCTGTGCAATACATGGGGAAATGGAAATAGATGGCCCTTCCCTTCCCACTACTCCCAGTTCTTAAAGGGCTCACTGGAAATTAAATTGCCCCAGCTATGCAAAACCATAAGGCAGTGTGCAGCAGCACCACCCCAAAGAGCTCCTTAGGAACAAATCTACCTCAGCATGCCACCCAGAGGTCCTGAGCCTGCAGAAAGCAGATGCTCATTACCGAACTCCTTTAGGGTACTGTGTACATGTCCTACTGCTTTCCCCCTAAGTAGCATAAGGGTCAGAGAAATGCAAAACTATCCTCCTCCTTATTATATATGGGGCATGTGCACTAGAGCGCTCCCAGAGACTACTCTGTGACTTAACCCATACAAGTCAGCATCATCCTGGCATTCCTCTTCCTGGCACACCTGCTGCACACCATGCAATGGCCAGGCAGAACATGCCATTTGATTATAGTGTTGATCAGATTGGCTGATGTGCATTAGAACTGCAGAGTGAAGAGTGATGCGTTGCACTTTTATTTGTGTTAATCCTGCCTCTGGCTACTCCAATCTTTGGCACAACATTCCTATTTATAGAGCATAATTCTTCTTCTCAGAAGATCAACCCTCTTCTTGTTTTATTTTCTGCTTTAGGAAATCTATATCTGGGACTCTCTTTGAAACTTCTCTCCGAGCATGTTTGTTTATTTCTCTACACAAGCCTTTTGTGTTTTAAGACAGCAAATAAGTGCAAAGTGACCATTTTCCAGCTTTATGGTACACTGCCTGCTACTACTGTTGTTTACATTGCACTGTAAAAGTATCTGGTGACAAACAGATAAATGCAAGAGAAGAGCTTAAAATCTGAGTACAGTAAAAGGACAGCATTTCAATAAAACATTTATTTTAAATAATGAGTAATTTACATCAGTGAAGATTTGTTATCCAGACATTTGTAGAACTATATAATTAAAATATATGTACCCAAAAAAAGCAGTCCTTGAAATTTAGGAAGCATTTGGCTTACATGTTTCTCTAGAACAGCACATATTGGAATTTGTTTTCCTTTCATCTCTTTCCCAATAAAAGCAGCCATGCGGCTTATCCCTTTAGCTTCCTCAGAACTTCCTTTCAGAATTCCCGATCTATTACAGCACATTCACATACCAGAAACAAGATGCCTTTTCATGCTGTCAACCTTTTTCATCTGAAATGTAAATTAATTCTTGCTGGTACGCTTTGACAGAGATCAAAGTAGGGGTATTAACCTTATTGGGCCTTCTCTTCATCAGAATCAGTTCCAAAGACTGTGAGGGTGGTGTTAGGAGGCCAGTCTTCACTGTTATCTATGGCCCTCCTCCAGGCAGTCCTCTGTCTACAAGTCAACATTTCAAAGGCGCTGATTTCTTTTGTAAATGACCTTATCATTACTTTAAACTGTGTGAAAAATGATTTGCCTGAATAATTCTTGCAGGATTATCCTGCTCATTTTAATTGTGGGGGGACTTCATTCAGATTCCAGGATATTGTTTAAGTGGTTTTGACAGCAAGTGATCATAGCCTGATAGAAAGGAGGAACACAGCTCCTGATTGGAAACCTCTTGACTTGTTCAGATTGTTCATTTCTTGCAAGTCAGTCTTTGAGGTAGGCTACATTTGCATTTTAAAAATAAACAATTGCCTTTCAAATACATGAGCTGGTGGTCTGGAGATCTCAGTGGGCCCAAGCAGTTCACTATCCATTGACGAAATGTTGACAGAAAAAACAAACTTACAAAAAAAACCCATAGTACACATGAGGATACATTTCCTAAGTGTATAATATTACACCAAAAATAAGTCATTATTGGAGGTGGAGAACAAACCCTTCCTAGTAGATAAAATGTTTGTGAATTTAAAGCAGTTGGAGGGAAAAAGCTATACCATGCTTGTGGTTCTCACGAAGTAAATACATCTGTATAGTAGGACTATTAACTAAAGATCCCAGTGTCAGCCAGTATTTACCCATGCCTCTGTGTGTCAGTTTCTTAATCTGTACAGTATAGAAAATAATAATCCTTTATATTACACGAGTATTTGAAGGATAATTTAAGTTGCTCAGACAAGAGTGCAAAATATAGTATTTCTTTCAATTTAAGATATATGTTGTTTTGATTAGCGTCTACAAAAAAGGGATAGATTTTTTTTAAACTTTTCAAAATGAAATTGAATCAGGTTCACAGCTGATGCAAATCAGTGCATCTTTATAGAATCATGTGATTTCAATAGAGAGAGACTGATTTTTCCCCATTGCAGATCTGGCATAGTGTTTATTTATATTAACACACTTTATTCATTATAAATAAGAAAACAGGTAAGTACAATTGCAATAAGTCATTTCTGTTTCCTATCATCAAAGTGTACATTTCCATTCAGAGTGGCTGCTTTCTCCAAAGACTTAAAAGAAGATTTTAATCTCTGTCTATTTTACTGAAACTGCCAAAATGCCAAATGAGTGGTGTGTGCGTTCACTTAGATATGAGGTGACATCACTGAACTCATTTTAATTAGGGCCACCTTAGCCATCTGGAATATGCTGTGCAACTCTGGTCAGGACTGAGTTTAAACTCTGCTTCCAGAGGTGAAAGGCAAATCACTAATCCAGTAAGCCACCACCCCCCTTCTCTGACACACATTCGCTTCACACACACACCATATGCCATGTTGTACTGTGAAAATTTGTATTGAGAACTCAGGATTTGGCTTCTTTTGTAACAAAAAATGAGGGAGGAAATATAGCTGAGACATTTCTCTATGATGTGCTTCCATTTTGTAATTTTTTTCCCAGGCACTGTTGTTCGCTAACTATTTATATAACCTATGCCCCAAGATGAAGAGCAGAAAGAAGAAGAAAAAAAGGTGCTAACAAGAACATAATTGTATATATGTAATAACTGAACATACATATTGTCAGCAGAATTTCCAGTAGTCATTTTTAATAATGACAGTTTACAATGAGAGCTGAATAAGTAGTTGAAAAAATTTGTGTTAGATATCTATCTCATGATATTTATATATAGGTATAAATAATGTTGTTATGGATGTGTGTGCACATATATATTCATAAACCTGGAAATCATATTGGTTAAATTCCTCAAAACACTTCAAAAGTGCATGCAAAAAAAGAAAATCCAGCATTCTACTTCAAATTTCATAAAGTATCATTCCACCTTGGGTGTAGAGTCCAGTTTCAGTCTTTTCACAGCACTTATTTTGTTCCTTATAAACAAAATTTTAGGTATAAGAACTACTGTAGTCATGGGCATAGCTGTATAAATAGTACTTAAACTGATTTGTAACTCTAGTGACAGTTGAAACTCAGGTCAAACCAAATCTTTTTGTGAGAGCTGCAAAACTTTGGTTAACTTTGCTCTTCTGTGTCATACACTAGTTAAGTGCATGCTTTCTCTCTAGCATTTGTCTCTAGCAACTGTTAAGAGCCTGTTACTTATTAGCAGTTCCCACTTTAGGCCAAGTGGCAGGGATTTGTGGTTTTGAAGCTTAGGTCCTGCCTCCTTATCTGTATCTACATGCTCTGTCTCTGTGAATGCGTCTGCATTTTTTCC